CTGGGGAGATTTAGACTAAAACCTTAATCTACTTAGTCTGTGGGCGGACCAGGAGACTGGAGCCATTGTTTTAGAATGTACCAGGCAGTAGAATTATGAAATCCTTCTTGATGTGTCTGCTGTTCATTTCGGTGATGACTTGGGGGAGGAAGTGGTGGCTGGGGACCAGAGTGAAGCCAAACTGGATGCTTTCCACACCAGCATCTAAAAATAGAACCCACCGTGACGCCTCTCTGTTCACCTCCTCCTGGCATCCCCAAGTGTTTGGAGAACTTGAAATCTTAAGACATAGAGAAAAGCTCGTTGCAAAAATTGGAAGCACATCTACTTGGCTGGTTTTTCAAAATCAGCCAGGCCTCTGGGAGCCGGATCCCTAGGCTGCTGGCCTGCTGGGCGCTGGCAGAGAGCATTGGCAGTGAGCGTATGGCCAGTCGCTAGGTGTCAGTGATTGAAGAGGAGAATATGCATGCCACCAGCCACCGCCCAGTGTTTCCTGTGTCAGGTGCCCTGATGGACATTGCCCATTTAGTGCAGTGGGTGGTGTTTTCATGTCCAATTTAGAGATGAGGAAACCGAGGCTCAGCTGTCGTGACTTCTCTTGAGGAACTGGGTGGGTAAGTGGTTCGAGTTGGGATGCGAGTGCAGGTCAGTCGGTCTTCAGAGCCCTGCGGGTCGTCTGACTGGGTCCCGTCTGTGTGCTGGTACAGCGCCCCATTTACTAAGAACTTCCAGGCCTGTTGCTACCTCGGCTTTGGCTACTGTTTCAAAAGGGAACCAAGAATGTAAAATGCTGGTAAGTGCTGTGGTGTTTGTCCCTGTCATGGGAGTTATTCTCTTCCTGCGATTTTAATGGCAGTAGTAGTAGTGTGAGTGTTTCACATTTATTAGGTCTTCTGAGGTGCCAGGCGTTGATGGCATTGACCTGAAAGAAGCGTTTGTGCATAACCTGGCCAAGGTGGCGGAGTGAGCACAGTTAAGAAGTCAGTTTTGTGGCTCCTCCTCTTCCTCACGTGCTCGCTTCCACAGCCGACCTGCTTGGGAAGGGGGCTTGTAAACTGTGTCCCAGTGGTCCCCTTCACCCTAGCCCTCCTTCCAGCCCCAGGGAGGCAGTGCATGTGGTGGTGACAAGCAAGACACCTGGGCTCGTGGCTCTGGCTGTGTGACCAGGCTGGTTGCCTAACAACTTGGTGCCTCAGTCTCTCCGTCTGTAAAATGGGAATAATAAGGGTGCCTGTCCCCTGGGATCGCGGCGAGGCCTAATGGACTTAATCCGGATAAAGTAGTCGGAATGGTGCCTGGCACACAGGACGCTTGTTATCTACAGAACTGCACACTCATTCTCCACAGGCAGATGCGATCTGCTGTGTGACATGGGGCATAAGACTCTCCTGGGTGTCACGTGGCTGCTCATTGTGATCTTGGGGCTAGTGAGGTACTTCTAGTTCTTTGCTTGCAAGGAAAGTGAAAGAGAATCTGATTGAGTTGTCAGCCGATAGAACATTAGAAACGATTTTGGTAATAAAGTCCTGTAATTCTTGGCATATAATTCTGAAGGAATTCAGAGAGTGTGTTCTTTCCATTCTATCTTATTTATTTGAATAAGTGGTTTCAGCCTTTTATATCTATAAAAATTGAAAAGTAGAGATAGAATTGGTAATAGATTCTGCCTTATTCTAGCAATGGGTAATATCCACTTGGATGCTTGAAATAATTAAAAAAATTTCCCATTCATCTCTTCTGAGTTGTATTTCTAACAAGGTTTAATTTTTTATGCTTATATTTGTATAAATTTGTAGTATATTTCCGTCGTATTGCTCAATTATGTACTAATCTTAATTGTGATAATAAATCTGTCTAGAAGAAAATTTTTGAACATATATATATTTTTTTGCCTAGCAGTATAATAATTAAATTAAGGGCTTTTAAACTTGAAACATGCCGATGGTAGAAACATTTCTGAGGGGTGTGGATTGGAAATGGGAGGAAGCAAAAAGGGAACATCGCTAACTTTCCAGGTGATTAAGAAGAGTCTGATTCTGTAATTTTAAGGTGGATGATGGTGGATCTCAAATTGCTATGATATTTAGATTCCATTGGATCCATTTAAAAGAGAAATAGTAACAGTTTTATTTTGAAATGTTAATATTTACAATATGTTGGAAATTACATCCTCTACAAGTATTTAAACTTATGATGAGAAATTTTAGATGTCAACTTGAAAATGTGCAAATAGAAACAGTTTTAAACATTTGGGGGTTTGGTTTGAAGGCCACTGCTTTAGCACACTACCCCGTTTACTTCTCAGAACCAGGCTCAGAGAGGACAGCAGCCTGGCTCTCAGGCCATCTAGAGGCCCTGCTGGGGCTGGGCCACTGGAGCCTGTGTGTCCATCGAGACCCAGAAAGACCTTGGCAGTGGGCTTGTCCGCAGGCTGTCTGGCCTCCCTAACTGGGTCTGTTAGGCCAGTGATGTCCGATAATGAGGAAACCTTTACCGTTCTCTGCTCACGTAGTTTAAGAAAGCCCAAGTGAGGCTGAGGCCCGGAGGGCCAGGAGCCGTGGAAATCCCGCTCTGCGCTTAGTGCTGGGGCTCAGGCTAGAGGACAAGGAGAGAGGGGAGCAAGGGCTATGGGACAAAATGCCCCCCACCCTCGTGTCCAGAGGGCTACCTGTCATGATGATAGTAGTTGCAGGTACTTGTCCTGAAGGCGATGGTTTCAGTTCCTGTCATGGTTGCAGGTGCCTGTCCTGAGGGTGACAGTCTTCAGGTACTGTTTGCTTTAGTTTCCCCTCTGTACTATTATGAGGATGCTGGCCGTACAGGCCCACCTGACCTTACCAGTTGGCCGTGCTCAGCTGTTGAGGTGAGGGCCCCTCCAAGCTGCGGATTGGGCAGCTGCTTTTCACAATCTTTCCTGGACATGTGCTGTGTACTAGGCTGCAGGTGCTGGGGACTCACATGGGCCGAGGTCAGGTCCTTTCAGCTCTGAAGTCTGTAGTTGGCAGCCAGCCAGAGGCCAAGGTGGGTGGGGATCACTGGCATGGTCCCAGAGGAGGGTCCTGACCCAGGCTCGTGAGTCAGGAAGGCTTCCTGGAGGAGGGCGGGGTAAACCTGGCTAGTGTTGATGAGCCTCGTCCACCCGACAGAGCCTGGCTGAGAGGCAGGTCCAAGCCTGGCTATTCCCCAGGCCCTTCTGCTCCTGTCCCTGAAACAGCTCGGTGCTAAAATGCCGAGCATGGCTGGCACAGCCATCGCTGCTCCTCCACCCAGTAAGGCTAGAGGGGAAACACTCTTTGATCACTTGGGTCATCTGCAGCCTGGGGGGACTGGGGGTGGGCCTGAGGCTCTGCCGAGGGTTGGGCGGGAGGCCTGTATCTCCTAGGAGCATTTTCCACTCTGACCTGCTCTGCGGGGAAG